AGGAAAAAATGAACCTTACAAACACAACTGCCTTGCTTCAAGAGATCAAAGGCTGAAGCAAGTCTTTCGTGCTGCTCAAAGATCATTGCCAAAGGGCATGAAATGGCACCTTAGAATTCCATGGAAGAAATCAATACCATGGAAAATTCTCACATTGGAGTATCACACAGAGAGAAAAAGACAGTGAAACAGTACAGAGAAACAAGCTATGAATCTACAAGGAGCTAATTAAAGAGGTTGTGCCAGACAGGAGAACAGATAAATTATCTTTTTCTAAACCAAGGCACAGCAAGACCAGTAAAGTTTTGGCTAGTAAACAAAGGTCAGAGAGAAGGAATGAATCTAGCAAATCAAACTGCTATAGAAATTATGGGTCCTTCCCTTCTGGATAGTTCACTGGATTTGTCCCAGATATAACTACTGCTAGCTTGCTTTTCTTCTCCCTTTCTTTCAATTCCTATCTTTTTTATCTGGCCTTTGCTGAAGAAATGTGTATTCAGCTTGGCTATACTAAATTCCACTTCTAATGCTTGCTTACAATCTTAATCTTAACTGACTTGAACAAAATTATCTGTTTTAGCCTACAGAGTGTGGCTAAGTCAGTGGAAGACAGCAAGATATTGCCTGAAGTATTTAAACTGGGATACAGTAATACAACTTATAATCAAATGGACAGATTTCAAAGATATGTGGTTATTTTTAACAATAAACTCCATCATATTGGAAATATGGGTCACCAGTTCTTTTGCAGCCTTATTTAGGACTTTTAGAGACAGACTTTTTTCCACAATGGAACTCACATAACATTCCCATAGAATATCCCAGTCAGGCATTACCTAGTCCCATGTCTTTTTAGCTAAGCAAGCTAGGAATACAAATCTTCTCTTGTAGTATAACAAGGGGCCAACTTACTATGTGTTGCCATATTTTAGAATACATAACAAGACAAAATTGTATCATACTTAATTCATTACAGGAATACAGCAGCAAAAAATATTATTATACAGGTCACTGCTTGCCTTTATCAAGTCCTGTCTTTAGGATCAAGATTTGATTGTTTGTGACGTCCCTAGATCTGCAATAGACCCATTGTAAAGAATCCTCCTGGTCTCTGTTGTTGCTGTTCTTTTGCCCAACTTTGCTATTTCTTCTTTCCTGGAGAAAGCTAACCAAGCAATGGGGAAAATTTATTTTTTACCAGGTGAACACATCACTGGGGAAAGGAGGAAGAAAATCTGGCTGACTGAGAAACGCTATCAGTATGTAAATACAGAGCGTGAAATATTTCTTTTTAAGGCTCCTCCTAAAAAAAAAAAGTTAACCTGTCAATCTATCAGCAAAGATGGCTGCTCAGTGTGACCAAGGCAACTACTACTTTTGTCACTAGACAAGGAACGGCAGCAGACTGAGTGAATTAGAGCCACTAGGGATAATCCAACCTCAGTTGCTTTTTTCTTTCTATAAATCCTTTGGTTTTAACTACATAGAATTGAACGCATGCTTGATTTTTCCTTTAAAGGGAAAAATATTGTGTGCTGTGTGTCTGTATGTGTGCATGTATGTATGCACACACACACACAAACAAACAAGTTTGGTTAGATTGTCCCCAGCTACTTTTATTTTTGCCATTTTTTAAAAATCAGATTTAAAATAAATTCAAACAATATAACACACACCTGTTTTTCATATAATAATGTTACATAGCGATTAGTCTTAAGTACTGCAATTGGCACAGGGGTTACAGCATTGATTAAACCAGAGAACATTGCTGACACACCTTAAATACAAAACATTTGAAAGATCCCTATGCAAAGTATGTAGGAATGAACAAAGGAAGCCTCCTCTTCAAAGCAGAGGGCAACATGGTGTACGAAGACTCAATGCAGCTGCTGTGAAGATTTCTCCAGGTGCCAACTCAGGGGTCCGGTTCCACTGCTGTTTTCCTTTATCAGCTATCCTAGCAGAAGTATTGTTTGTGCATGTACACGCAGAGGCAACATAGCAGAAGAAGAGAGATAGATGGAGAGAGATTTGACCTCTAGGATTTTCTAGTGATCTAAGTTAGTATTAACCGGGCCCCACCAGGCCGTGGATTTTTTTTTTCTGAAATCAGCATAGGCAGCCTAAGTGACTTAATGTAGTAATATATTGCATTTTAATTTCCACTTTTTATTGATTATGAAAACTCTAATTAAGAGAATAAAACTAATGCACTCTGTTACTGCAAGAATGTAAAGAATCAGAGCGATAATTCATACACATGTTATGTTTGCTGGAAGAGTCCCACCAGCTTAAATTAAATTGGGTTAACAATATCCCTATCTTGTTTCCATTCCTGTTATCATAATAAAGTATTAATTTCTAAGGCCAATAATGATTTTGTTCTTATACTGCATTCTTTAAAAAAAATAAAAATAAAGGCTTTTAGGATAGAGAGAAATTATCTTTATAATAGCAAATATTAACAAATAAGCACTAGGGGGCTCTCTTGTATTGTGAAAATAACATTTTGTGCCAAAGTCCACTGAGCAATATTTTGTTATTTTCTGCGTTCCTGAATTTGGGTTTATGCTTTCCCGAAGAATGGCCAGATTTTTGCCTTGAACTTGTTTCTCCAGAAACCTACCAATAATGCAAAAAAAAAAAAAAAAATTCATATGCTGTACCATATAAATAATTCAACATGGCATTCTAATTATTTCAACACAAAATCCTATATAAGCATTATGTTATATAATGTTCTGTGCAGATTTAAAGCTTGAAATATTTGCTCCTCAGGCACCTCATTTTATGACAGATGAAATCCTTTCAAGGATGTTCTACCATTTCATGAATGAGATACCAAATTAGCTGTCCAGTGCCAAACTGATCTTATTTTTTAATTTTTAGTTGCTAAGCTGCAGGAAATTTGTAGAAGTTCACCAGATGGTGAAAAGCGTGGCTGGTTTCAGTACTCTTCTTTGCAAATCTACAAGCAGAAAGCATTTTCTCTGCTCTGAACACGCAGCATTCAGATACACAGATTTTAAACCAAGTATTAATTATTATTATTATTTGGTTATAAAATACAATCATTTATTTAAAAGCCTGGATCATTGACAATTGTACATTTTTATTTTATTTTTCCTCATGCACATGGTCAGATAAGCATTGTTTATCATTTGGTGGCATCTTCCTAACTTACATCTATTGGGTACTTAGAAGCTGATGAAGATTACTTGATCCATCTTATCTCTATAAGATAAGTTATATCTCATGCAAGTTAGAATTTATTTTAATCATGATTTACTGAAGAAATTGTAATTTATTCTAAAGTGAAAGCCATTATTTACATGCCATAATAATTGGGTCCACCCAATAACTTAACCAAAATCAAAAAGGCTGTATTATGGTTAGCATGAATGCCTGACCCCATGACTGGGTTCATACAGTTCATTAAGAAAAACTATGTTTTGCTTTTCTGAGGCTTAACATGCTCTGTGAATGCAGCCATTTGATTTTCTTAACCATGATTAATGTTAGGCAATAATGTAGCAGATAGATGATCTGTGATGGAAGTGAGTTTGAGGAAGACACAGAAGGCCAAGAAAGAACAATTCTTATCCTAATAATACTCCCTTCCAGTAAATGAATGTCCCATTTTGGTAAACACTCAGCATGTTTTTGCACATGTTGCAGATACTCCTTTGACTTCTACTGGCTCTTTTTATGGAAAGTAAATCATGGGTAGGCTGGAATCTCTGGAATGTTTTATTGTTCAGTCATGGGATGCATTTGGAGGACAATTTATTGATATATTGTTATGGAGCCTGCATTAAGACCTGCTCTTGTTGACATCTATTAAATAGATGCTGATTTCATCCAGCAATTCCTGTTGCTGCTGTTTACTTCTCTTCAAGGGAAGAAGTAGTGACTTGAGCAGGACTGGAAAAGAAACAGGCCATAGGAAGTTCTATTCTACTCCTTTACACAGGGGGAAATTCTTGAATGCAGTGGGAACAATTTCCTGCTTGTTTCTCTTGGGTAACTCAAGAAAAAAAGGGAGCAATAGAAAACCTAGTGAAACAACCACTGTTAACTTGGCTGGCCCTTTTCCTAGGCAAGATTGAAAAATAATTGAGAGGAACAGAAGTAAAAGAATACCTGCATGTATGGAGCAGAGAGGCTCCATATCTATCAAATATATTTGTAATACAATATATTTTTATATATTGTAGACTTTTACAATATTGTAGACTTTTAGCATATTATGTAGTGATTATTTTATTACTTTGAGTAAACTGTGGTTTTAATTAATTAAATCTATGGCTTCTATTTGTTTCACTACTTCTACTCTATTTTTATGGAAAGTGAACTTTTGGATACTGTTATGTAATTTTAATATGTAATCTGCTTTGTGAGATCAATACTATTTATTTTTTAAAATATAAAACAACAGAGATGAGATTAGAATTGTTCAGGATTCTTTCTTTCTCCCTTTATATACAAAAAATAACTATTAACTGCTAGGATCTAAAACTTGGTAAAAATGTTCATTACTATATAGATACAACAAAATGCTGGAAAACAGAATGTAGCAAATGGCTGAATACTTTCTACATTCCCCTTCCTAAGACATGGATGATGTCAAAAATGTTAGACAAAATCCAGCTCTGCCTTCTATGATACTATCCAAATTCTGGATACAAAATGCTACAAGGCAATTAAGAGAACTTCACTGCTTCGTGTTGGCTTGTTTAAGCTCTTGGCTTATCATGATTCCAGATAATCGTTCTTAAAATTTAACATTTACATGATTTCAAAATTGTATCTACTCTTGAATACAACTTTCAGTTTTGTAAGAGTATTGACCACCTATGCAGAGGTTGCGGTGATGTGGCTTCAAAACAACTTCTTCATCCATGGGCTAAAACATTCTAACTGCTGTCTGACATACATTACGTTGGAGGTGTATTTATAGAATAGAAGGTACTTCTAGGGTAGAATTCAAAAGGTTTTTACAATAGATTCTTTTTATACGGTTACAGGAGACCAGAGGCATCCTGGTGCCTTTGAACAATTGTTCGGTTTCTTCAAAAATGTCATTATTAAATGTGATTCTCAAGGCTTTGGGAATTAAAACTGAAGACAACACTCATACTTTTGCAGTATCAGAGGCAATGTTTGCTACACTAAATTTTTCCTTCCGACTGCGATTTCTTTTCTTTTATCTTATTCTGAATGACATGTTTTGAAATTAATGCCAACAGCCTGGTATTCTTTGATCATTTATCAGAGAAATCATGTCATAAAAATTAGTTCAATATTAGAAGAATGTAACATCAAAAACTGTTTATAATTTCAATGAAATACAACCAAAGTGAACAATGTTCAGTGCCAAGGCACAAAAGCATCACAAGATAAGTTATCCACAGCAAATCTGTATAACACTGAGATATAACTGACAAAATTCACATAATATCTTCAGAAGCCATAGATGGTTGCTGTTTGGTTGGCATTTGCATTTCACACTGCAACCAGACACAATGATTAAGATGCACATAGTCACTTTTCAGCTCAATAGCAGTTAAAATGTTCTTTGCTACACCAAAAGAGAAATCATTTGGATATTGCAGAATGGGAAACGCTTGTTTAAGAATCTTGAGGGTTATGGCAGAAGGAACATGATGTTGTTGGTAAACCACATCTGAAGAACTGACCTTTTTTTGCTATGCATCTTTGGCTGTTACATTTTATTTTCATCGGGAAGAAAATTTTGGCAGCTTTAGAACAGCAGCAAATTCCACCTTCTTAGATAAATTCCAGGCAATTAATCACACAGCCAATATTATTATTCTAGAAACATTCCTGACCTTGAAACATCTCCTTTTAAAAAGTTGCTTTTGTATTAGATATTGACAAACTTAACAAACTCACTCATATGATTTGTTTTTGGATTTTATGAGTAATGAAGCACTTCACTGTAGCACTTCTACTTTTATCTCTACAAAATCACGAGAACTTGAAATTGTTTGATTTAAATTAAAGTTGCAACATTCTGTTTCAGTAGTGTTGTGAGGTCATAGATGCAAAGGTTCCTTGAAGCACTTTGTTGTCTAACCATGGGATGAGAACAGCCACCCAGAATAATGGTTAGATATAGATTTTAGAATATTGTTGGCTTCTAAGTTCATAGGTTTCATGCCCATTGATTCTCAGGGGCTCTTTTTCATCTGCTGTATCAATATTTTTCATCTGTGGATAATAAGCAGAAGATGCTTTGCATTCATAATGTCTGTCAATGGATTTTAAGTGCATCAACATGTGAAGAGCATAAGCTAAAACAAGAAGCAGTATCAGAGACATCACTAGACCCATTAGAATGGCTGGTGGGAAGAGGGAAGCACAATCTTTTGCATAAGCAAACTGTCCATCTTCAATGTTAAATCCTTGAATCTGTGAAGAAAATCAAATAGTCTAAATTAAGACCACACCCCATTTCAATCCAAAGGCATGCTATTCTTTGATCACTATTGTTGATCAAGATTATTTTCTCCAATATCAGTTGCTGAAAATTGAAATTGAAATCAGCATCTATTCCTGTGGAGCTTCTTGTGTGACATTGAGGATTTTTAAAATAAACTAGGATAGATATGTGTGAGATTGCAGAAATTACGGCTTGACCAACTTCCCAAATGAGTTGGGATATAGTACTACTAACACAACTGAATGGAATTTGGCTAAATAAGACTAGTGAAGACACTACCAAAGATTGCAATTCCAGGATCAAGAAGATAAACCCAATACCTTATTAAAACAGAGACAAACATTCTGTGCAACGCACATAAAAACTGTCAAGGTAATGATTTAAGAGCTGACCAGTTGATGCAATGATGGGAATGAGTCAGCAGGGTCTTTGGCTGTTGTCTCTTTAAGAGCCTGTGTAAAAAAGGGGAGGATCTGCTAGTGTGTCTTCTTTTCTTTTCTCTTTCCTGCTTTATTTGCTGTTTGTTGGATTCTGCTCATAGCACATGTATGTATATTGTTCCTAGTGATACTTGTATAGAATTGTAGATATCGTAGATAAACCACCATTTGTTACAAACCACTGGTTGATGTGTCTGCTCCTGGATTGTCGCATGTGATAGGACTGGGCACACTCTGACAGGTTATGGGCCCAGAGAGAAGAGAAACCCAATGAGAGCTTACCACACAGCCAGAGGGATTGTACTTCATGGTTTGTTTATGGTTAGTGGTTGTTAGAGGAAGTAGGCAACATGGATTTATTCAAAGTTTACTTCTTTACCTATATCTAAAAAATCACATAATCTACTTTTAAAGGGTTTTTACCACATAGATCTAGCCTTCTAAGTATTTGCTTAAAGGCCTTGATTGGCTTTCTCACACATTACCTGAAAGTCAAAAAAAGTAACTTCCCAGTGCTTGGCTGCATCATTTGCAGAACTGGGTGTTAGCAGTGCATCGTATCTCTGCAAGTTGCTGACATGTTCACAGTGGTAAGAATAGATTGCTGGTGCATGTATTCGTGTCGCATTGAATGTTGCTTGTACAGACTGATTATAAATAAGCTGGATTCTGTGTAAGGTAAACCAATTTTGAATGGAGAGCTTGTAATAATTGTTTGTCAGAATGAATCTGCCAGGGAAAATCAGAAAAATAATTGCAGTAAATCTTGCCATCTTTTGTTTATATTTGTAAATAAATCTAATAAAGATATACCAACTTCATATTATTATTGCATGGGATCTCCTAGTTTATGCAGAATGCCTTTCAATTCTTCGTTTTCATTGTTAAATACTAAAAATAGTCCCTTTTAAATGGCAAGAAAATCAAGATAATGGAAAAGAAGGAAGAAATTGGTATTCTTTTTAAAACTGATCATAAATACATTTCTAGATAAATAATTCAATAGCCTTGACATTTTGTGTGTCTGGTACTTTAAAAGCACTGTCTAAATTAAAGACTAGAAAAATAAGAGGATAAATCTTACTGGATGTTCATGTAGTGCACTAATTTACATATATAAATATGTAAAACACATATACCACCTTTGTAAGCAAAATTTCCTAGAGCAATTTGTAATTTTGAAAACTAAAAGCCCAACACAGCATACCTAATATTGCAAAATAAATGAGGAAACAGAACTATCAAATATCATAAAAATACATTTTCATTAAAACATTAAGACAACATAAATCAGATTAAATAAAAGCACAGTGCAGGATAAAAAAAATATATTTGCTCCTAATAAGTGGTCTCTACAATACACAAGGTGAGATATGCTAACTATATCTGCAATTATTCTCTTAAATTTTGATAACATCCAGCTGTGCCTATGGATATTGCCATCCAAAGTTAAGCACTGTTAAGTCCTAGAAATTTCAACTGAGGAATATATATATATATATTTACTGAAATGAATGGGTCTTTAATTCTTACAGATTCTTGCCTCTGTTGTATTGTAAAAGAGTTTGTATTTATTGAAACAGCGACATATTTTCACATTTTAATATTATCATAATGGAGATAGGCTAACAGTATAGTTTTAATGTAATAATGCTGTGGAGATTAATATTTGAAAACATACCTGATAACAAATCCTTTCAAATTGTCAATATCACCAAAATTAAGTGAAAGCCTAGATGGAAAAGGACAATTAAATCAAGAACTATTGAGAGGTGGAAGAGAAAGAAGAAGAGAAGACAATGTAGTTAAATTTAAATTCATGAAAGTTATTTAAGATAGTTGCATGGTACCATCGCAACACACAAAAGGGCAGAGCTTGGTAATGACACAACAAGCACTCTTGATATCTCTGCGGATAATGGTGGTCCAAATCTTAACCTTGTACAAAAAATGTGGCCCTATAATGTACTAAAGTGGCACTTTGCTTGTGCCGTGCTTCTATAGTACAATAAATGCTTGAAGAAAAGTGAGCAACTGTATCCAAGGATGCTTATTTAGAGGTCCATAGGACCTCAGGGTAACTTTAGTGTGGGTACCTAGTAATAGCTATATTCCATTCATAATAAAACTGAATTACAGCTATATTTCATGGTTGCAGTCGCACTTCATAAACAGACAACAATTGGGCTTAAAATAAACTGCATATGTCACAGATACAGGGTATTATGATACCTTGAAGATTATCCAATTAATTTTAAATATAAATATACTTGCTATATAAGTCTAGTCCTTAGTTTCTATACATCACAAAACCTTTTTTTCTCAATCTATTCCACAATCTATTTCTTTCATTTTTGGGTTATATGAACATTACAACACAGACAACCTGGCATATTTACCTCTCTGACAAACATAGGATGGCAAGCATTCACCAACTGTATTGGTCCAGCAAGTAGAATACTTGGGAACATTCAAAGTCATTAAATTAGTTCAGTGCTAAACATTTCACTGCCACAAGGACACTGCATTGTTTATTTAAAAAAAAAACATTTCTTTGAATTCTATTCCAGACCTAGGAAATCTCCACAATTTTACATTGGCCCAAAGGTGCTTTTTCCAAAAGGCAACTGGACTTTCTTGGTTTTTTATTTGAAAACATTTTGCTACTCATCCAAGAAGCTTCTTCAGTTCTTCTGTTAGAACTGAAAAAACTTCTTGGATGTGAAATGAAACATTTTCAAACAAAAAAAAATCAAGAAAGTCTAGTCACCTTTTGGAAAAAGCACCTTTGGGACAAGCAGAACCTGGGTGACTGAGAATCTCCATAAATCTTACATTGCATTTTCTTCACTGCAATTTGAATCAGCAACATCCACCGATGCATGAACACCAAATGTTTTGTCTGTTAGATCCAGCTGAGTGTAGTTCTGAAACTTAATCATGATCCTTCTGGCCCAGAATAGAATACAGGGGCTTCCATTAATGGTGATATTCAGTGGACTGTAGTGGCTGTGAATCATAGATTCTTTCTCCAAATTCTCTTTAGTGCTTACATTGTAATTGCCAATCTGCATGCAACCAAGTAAAAAATAACAATTAGTGTTCTCCCTTTAGCATACTACTAATGCTTAATTTTGAATTACTAGACCCCAGAGCAACATAAAGTCAACTCCATAAATGACTTGCCATAAAGACAAGTCCAAAATGCTTTGCTTTGAGATGGAGCCCATCCAAAATCAGGTAATCAAAATCATAACTAGAACCTTGCACAAAAATCTCAATTCTGGCTATAATAATAATAAATTAAACAACTAGCAATATTCTGCTTAAGGGTAGTTATCATAATTCTGTGTTACAGGAAGATAAGCCCTGCTTATAAAACACCATGAGAAGTTATAATTTCTGTTCATCCCCAATGCATAAATAAAAAGCAGAGTTTCTAAAAATATGGATAGCTTTTATAATAAATGTCTAATCATAGTGGAGACAAAACTCATTGAACAGTTTTAAAAGATAAATCATTTAAATTAGTACTGCTAGAGTGAAATGGCATAAGTGCTATTAGTGAAACGCTGCATTAGTGAAACACTGCAGTTAATGTGCTAAAATATAAATATCTCTAGATGAAAAGCTTGCGATATGAACTCATATTTTTATCCATCTAGGTACAAGAAGACATATTGATTTATGTTAATAATAGCTGGAAATATTTATACAGCTTCTTATCAGCAGGAACTTTATTATATCAGATAATTCAGACACTGAATTTCTGAATATTTTTCATCAAAATCTAAACAAAATTATATCTTTGTAACATTATATATGATACCAATTTTAAAACTGAGATTCTGGAAATTTCAGGAGATAAACAAATGTGAAAGAAATCCCATCTCAAGAGGCTCAGACATGAAAGAGATGACAGAAAACACAAATGTTTTCTGTCGATGAAACCTAAATTCTGTCAGTATAGGAAATTGGCAGAGGCCATGAAAGTCCTAGAAAATCAAATCTGAAGCACCAACCAGAAACCAAGAAATTCAACACTTTCAAGATGGCTTTAAAAAAAGAATAGAAAGACCCTTTTTTTGTTCTACCTTCCTCTCTCACAGGAAGAGCAGAAGAAATCATCTGAGTTGTTAGAAATTTGTTTGCTTTTCTTATTTTGTTAAACTATGTCCTATTTCTATCTGCTTTTGTTCTATGCATATTTTCCTGAGTGAAGGAACTGAAGAAATTAACTGTTCAATTCTCCTTTCTCCCTTTGTCTTTTATCCTCAATAATTTCATACTTTTGATATACATACTAAAAGGTTTGAATTTCTTTCTGAATCAGTCCACTCATTCTGAGAGGGATTAAATTTTAGCACAGCATATTTGATTAAGCTACTGAGAAAAGTCAGAGGATGTACCACATTATTGTTGAACAGTTTGGGCAATTTTGTTCCACGCAAATTAAATCAGCGCAGAAAGAGAATTTCTCTTGGAAATAAATTGGAATGAATAGCACACTGAGCAGGAATGTGGGAGGTTTTAAAAGGAGAGTTGGTAAATGGAGGATCTAGAAGCATCCTGCTGGCACAACTGTGCCAGAGAGTCCTGTGCACACTTGTGCCAGCAAACAATACATGCCATTACAAAATAGCAGAAAATAACACAGAGGCAGGGAGGGGGCAATTATTTGATAAGTACAGGTAGTCCTCAACAGCACTAAAAAAAATGATTTATAACCATTTTTCACTCTTACGACTATTGCAGCATCCCCATAGTCACATGATCAAAACTCAGAACTGACTTGGCAACTGACTCATATTTATGATGGTTGCAGTGTCCTGGGATTATATGATCCTGTTTTGTGACCATCTGATAAGCAAAATCAGTGAGGAAGCCAGATTTATTTAACAACATGGCAAGAAAGATTGTAAAACAGGGCAAAATAATAAATGTCTCGCTTAGCAATAGAAATTTTGGGCTCAGGTATGGTCCTAAGATGAAGACAACCTGAAGCTACTAAGCTACTTTCTGTGAAAAATTGTGAACTACTGATATTCAGAACAGAACAACATTTACAAGGTTTCTGAGATATGTACCAGATATTCCTAAGAACCAATAAATGTGTCATCCAGAGTTTTTTGCAGAAAACCATCAAGTGAATATTTCTCAGTTATATTTTCAACATGGAAAGTTGAGTCTTTTTCTTTTCTTTTTTTCTTTTCTTTACCTTTTTTATTTTAATTTTTGATATGCGCCACTGCTTCTGCAATCAGTGGAGTTTGTACCAGGGTAAAAATTGTCCTAGAAAGACAAATATTGCAAAACCAACTCACATCATGAATTTATCTGCTATCATCAATGTTTTTTTTTAAAAAAAATATACATATGGATTTACAACCCAGGTGCAATATACTGTATAACACTGATAATTTGGTCAAGGAGCATAAATATGCTACATGACTCAGAAGGAAAATATTGTCATAGAAAAACTTACTATCCAGTTTCCTGGGGTCTCCATACCTGTGTTATTGCTACATGTTGTAAATTAACTTTGGGCTTCACACTGCCATCATATCGTCGACCTACAAAAGAAACAACATAAAATACATTCCAAATAAAACTCATTCTAGCAATGAACAATTTGAATTACTATTTTTAAATTTGAGCTCCTTTTTATTAAAGAGAAAACTGATATAAAAATGTTTTTATATGGGACACTTATCAAGTTTAACACAGCATCCTCAGCCAACATGGTGAATAATTTGGACCAATCTTTTAAAAAAGATTATTTATTTAAAAATTCATCTTTATGTCATTGATAGATCTTTAGAACAAGAGAGATACTGCATTTCGTTATTAAGAACAATTCTTAATACTCAGGAATCTTCTCTAAGAACCTGGTAAATCAACTGTATTGTGGAATAATGTTTATAAACCCAAGGCATCCTCTCTTCTTGTCTATCTTGTCTACTATAGGTATGCCTCGACTTATGATCACAATTGCTACTAGAATTTCCATTGCTAATGAAGTGGTTGTTAAGTAAATCATGCTCAAGTTTATGAAGTTTGCAACAAGTGTTAAGCAAATCACTCTAATTGTTAGGTGAATTTTACTATCCTTAAGCAAATTCAGCTTCCCCTAATGACTTTGATGTCAGAGGCCGACAAAAAAGATGGTGAAATGGTGATCACATGACCCCAGGATATTGTAACCATCATAAATACATACCAGTTACCAAGCACTCAAATTTTGATCAGATGACCGTGGGGCTGCTTCAATTGTCATCAATATGAGGACCAGTTGTTACTTTTTAAAGTGCTGTTGTAACTTCAAATGGTTGCTAAATGAATGGTTGCAAGTCAAGGACTACCTGCATTTCAAGGAAATAGCATTTCATGCCCTTTAGTTATGTATCTTCTGTTTCAGCATCCCAGTCAAGAAAAAGAGAAAGGGAATAAGTATATTGAAGTTGATTAGGGTAGAGCAGGAGGAAAACTCTGTGATGTCATGGTGGCTACACCTCTTGCTCTTCATTCATAACTCCCTTACAGACTAATTAGGTGTAATTATTGCAGCAGAAGAAAAGTAAAAAGAGACTCGTTCCACTAAATCTACAGAAATATAAGATCTGATGGGATCCAGTTCTCTGAACTGTTTTCAGTTAATGATTCTAAGAACTATTGCTTGGTCTGATATGGCTTCCCTGCTCATCCATTTTTCCATTGGTGTTGTATTTAGCTTATATCCCTGAACACAGACAACTTTGCGATTAATTGCTCCTAAGCTACTGTAGGAATATTTCTGGTGGAACAAAAGGTTAAAAATGTTTGAATTAATTAAACTATTTGTTGGTGACCTATAGTGACATGAAACTCCTCTGTAAATTTTTTGGACCTGTAGTTTTTTCAGGAAATGACAATCTGAGGGAGATAATTAAGGCCTTACCATTTCTCTGGAGTAGATCTTGATCCGAGAATACAAACAAACTGCAAAAAAGCAGATATAAAAGTAGTATATGAGCAATATTTTTTTTAAAAAAATATGTATCTTACTTAAACTGCAGGAAGACAATATTTAGTACTTTCAAACTGCAATATAATCTAGGAAATAATGTATCCATTTAAAAGTTTAAACATCCTTTTATAGCAAGGGTGTCAAACTCAATTTTATTGAGGGCCGCATCAGCATTGTGGTTGCCCTCAGGGGGGGCGGGTGGGTGTGGCCAGGGTGGGTGCAGCCTACTGGGTGGGCATGGATGGAGTAGTGTGTCCTACTGGGTGGGCATGGCCAGCTCTACATTGTTCGCGTAAGGGTGCCTGTGGGGACCTGGGCAGGGATGGGACAGATCTGAGGGTCTCTGGCAGAAGGGGGTCGAACCGGGGCAAGTGCCAAGGCTTGGTCCATTTCTTCATTACTTACAAAGGGTAACACCTCCCCAGCATGCACCCAGGGGGCGAGGCCGACACAGCAGGGGCTGGTTCCTCAGTGTTTCTAGACGTCCTTGTAGAGCTAAGACTGAATGCGTTTCAGCATAGATGGCCACCACAAAATTGTACATTGGCTCCCGGCCGGCCTGGGCCAAGGCAGCGGGGGCCATTCCCTCACTGTTTCCAGGATGGCTTTGCGGGCCGCATGAAATCACTTTGCGGACCGCATCCAGCCTCTGGGCCTTGTGTCTGACATGTCTGTTTTATAGGAAAAACATTCCCATACTGAATTTAGAATGAGGCTTCATGTGATACAACTATTGGTAAATCAACAGGTTTGTTAAATGGATTCATTTTATTTATTTGATATTTATCCATTTTTGTAAGTATTCAGGTAAGTATGGATAAAATTTTAAAAATAAAACCAGGAAATAAAACATCAAATCCATGAATAAAAATCAAGATTAAAATACTTATGTAAGAGAGGCTGCTGAAGATTTCCTAAACACCAATCAAGTGAGGGCCAAATGCAACTCATGAACAAATGCATTTCATGGTCTATGCTAAAAAGTGGGACTCTGACAGTGTGGAAAAAGTTGCTAGCAATAGGTTAAAATAGACTTTTGCTAAGGAAGAGTCTGATAGATACCTGAGAGACTAGTTATTGCATTTAAATAAAACTGTTGCAAAACTCTTTCCCAGTTCAGTATACCTGGCAACAAGCGAAGTCAAATGAAAAGAGAAAATATCACCATATTTCATGTTTCAAGGCCAGATAGCAAAAATACGTGCAGTGATTTGGGAACAGCTCAGCCTGCTGCAGCACAATAAGTACTGTTTGAATTTTGTAGTTCTACCAACTTCCTTACCTAGAAACTGAGTGATGCAGTCTCTGAAGTTACCTGTTCCTTACTCCTTTCTTGTCCATGGCAAATGAAAAAATGGACTTATGATGCATTTTTATTCAAAGTGCTCACCTGCAGCTCAAAAGAATGTAAATACAAGTAGATTAATAGGTACCACTTCGGTGGGAAGGTAACAATGTTCCCTGCACCTTTGGTGTATAGCTATGCTGGCTACATGACCATGGAAAATGTCTTTGGACAATGCTAGTTCCCTCAGCCAAAAAACAGAGATGAGCACTGCGCCCTAGAGTCAGACACAACTGGACAGGGAAACCTTTATCTTTACCTTACTTTTTTGATAGATTGCATCACAAATCATCCAACTACCTTCTAGTGGATAGTGCAAATCCAATCTGAATGGGGTTAATTTTGCCACACAAACCCAGAAAATTGGGTTAAGTAAATGGGTAGGTCTCTTATGCAAGCCTTATATAGTTAACAAGAGCAAAAACTGTTTAATGGACAGCTGACAGATGCTATATTCCCAGCTAGAAAAGCAGTCTGGGTCAAGGAAGCCAGCCAGTTTGGGCTGATGGCCGGCTGTCATTTTGACTGTTGTGCCAGTTACTGCACTCAACATTAAATCTGCTGTATGCTAATCTTTTTAGTCAGTATTTAGTATTTAATCGGCTTATCAATTAAAGGTCATATTAGAGATTGAAGAAAAGCCCCACACAAGCTTTCTAGGAATATTACACAGCCCAAAGTCCACTGGAGTTGGATGGCCAATAAATTTAAGTGGACAAAATGTTTTCATTTTACTAGAGTATCCAAAACATACCCATAGTTATCACCGTGGATTTGAAAATTTATTAAAATATCTCAATGCAAACCCATAGATATCACCGAGGGTTTTGAAATTCAGAAGATCATTGTGCTTCTCCTGTCCACACATTGTTTTTGCTAGGCAACAAGTAACTATTTATTAATTCAAACCTTAACTTACATAGAAATCCAAGAATTGGTGGGTAAATATACCGACTTTCCTGAAATTCCTGTTGCTACTTTTCAAACCAATTCATTATAAGTAGTAGTCATTCTGATCATATAGGACTATAGATGTTTACCTTCATGAAACTTAGACTCTATAAAGTTCTTTTTAATAAGTACACATTCATGTTTTAAGTATGTGATTCCATACAGAACAAGACAACTGAAAATCCACAAAGTTCACCAAAGCTAAAACTAAGATGATTAATTAAGCTATCAAAGAAGATATGTCCATAACATCTGACTGAGCTTAATGGTTTATTCGCAATGGTATGTTGGAAGCATAATGGTATGTTGGGAGACTTAGGATACTGGCCAAAGGGATCCTGCCAGAGATAGCATAGCCTCAACTGGATAGTAAATGGCAAGAGACTCCAAAGACAATCTAATTTCTCAGGCTGTAGAGGAGATAGCAGAGATTTCTACTTTCAGACTTGCAAAATTCTGTCAATGTAGCTTTACAATAAAGTAGAATTAGTTCATCTGGTTGTGATTCCTATCCGGTTTGTTCTGCAAGAGCAATATTGAATGCACTCCTGAAGGAGCTGCATCCAAGCTGATATTAATATTAAAGTTCTTCATGGACTCTCTGAAAGTAATCAGAGTTTTATACCACATCTTAGAACCTTATCTCAGATAACACGTTTGTGTTATTGAAAGCAAATTCTGGTTTATTCCTGACTGAATTAAAGGGCACAGGACAACTGCTTGAAGCAGATGTAGAATGTATTTGACAGATAGACCGCCTAGTAATCATCACACATTGAAAGGCAGGCTTAGAAATATTTATAGGAAAGTTGGGTCTTTGTATTGGAAATCATGTCGTGCTGAGTCCATTAAGAAGGAAATGCAGTTTTCTCATCTTGCGAGGTGAAATAATCTTCACCTTTTGTGTTGGTCTTGGGTGAAGGATCTGGATTTGAATCTTATTCTGTATATAAAAGATTTCCATATATTGAAGAGATTTCTTATAATTTTGATATTTACTAATTTCTTTGCTTAGTCAGTTTCACCCCAAGTATCAATATGAGCAAAAAGCTGAAGCAGTCTTTTGTTTTATTGCTGACAAGTTAGGTTGGCAAGTGGTCTGAGTGACAAGGGTGACATGAGGGTCTTGCCTTCTCACATTGTGAAATTACTAAACACTTACAAATTATGTGTACATGTTTGTTTATACAGTATTGTACCAACAAAGTATACTGCACCCCAAAAATAACTGTTAAAAATTGCTGATTTCAGTTTTGATGATTTCCAAAATGAAACCAAGTTTTATGCCAAACTAACAATATTCTCCTCTCAATAGAAAATGCACCCAGCACTAAATATGCCTCCAAGTGAAATATTCATAACTCTGCTAAAAACCTAATGGCAATAGTAATTTCCAAGCCTTTGAAAAGCTTACACACAGAAAAAATTAACAATCTTTCTCCTATTGGAAAGCAAGTAGTAAATGGGCCACAAAGCAACTTTAGTTTGCTCATTGAAGCATTCATACCTTATGGAAATAAAATTAATACATGTAGCAGTGAAGCAGAGACCATGGTCACATTGAAAAACTCCTCCTAGTATTGTACATGCAAAATAACACCTTCTCAATCCTTCCCCAGCATTTACAGAAATAGCATCATTGCCTAGCAGGATTTTATGTGTCCAGATGTACACATGAAAGCCCTTACTCACAACATAGACTAACAGAATACTATGGATAGAATACTTCAATGTAACTTTGCTCCCTATTCATACATAAACACTTTTTTATAATACATAAAAACATTTGAAGCCCCAAAGCCCATAAATGCATTTAATACAATGAAACATCTGATTGTACAAACATATAAGCCCCCAACTGCCTGTTGTGACAAAGAGTGATCTGTTTTTTAAAATCACATTTGCCAACTCAGATGTCAGCAAATGAAGAGGGATGAAAGACTGCTACTGAAACTTCATGGGAAGAAAATATTAAGGTTAAAAAAAGGAAAGCTCTCTGGCTCACAGGCATTCATTTTTTTTTAAGTAGGCTCTCTACAATATTTCTTTAATGATTGAAAATATTGTCTATCGTTGGCAATCATGTTGGCAATCCTGTTTTTATCAGCAGATGCACGAAAAAGTGCTGCTGAGTTTTGTCAAAACCAGTCCCTTAGATTTTGAAGCCACAATGTTCTTCTTCTGCCTGGACCTCATTTTCCTTCAATCTTTCCCTGGAGGATTAAATGGAGTATGCCGTATTTTTCTGGGTGTCACATCACATGTCTGAAATAGTCTAATTTTTGTTTTTTAATTGTTTTGATGATTTCCCTTGGCTTTCCCAGGCGGCTTATCACCTCCTCATTTCTGATCTTGTCAACCCAGCTTATACGTAACAGCCACCTGTAAATCCACATTTCACATTACATGAAATAGCATACCAAAAATAGAGAGAAAAGACATTTAAAATATTTAGATCAGAAGTGGATGAAACAGCAAGGGGGGGTGACAATCTGAAGGCCTCTAAACTTTCAGAAAGTTGTTAGTGAGGACATGAAGTTCTCGAATTGTGGCGCAGCTGCCAAATATTCTCCAGTCCTATGTTCCCATATAGCCATTAAAAAAAAAAAAGAACAATTTCATGTTGTGGGATTGATCAGCCTTCCCTAGAAGTATATATTAGCCCCAAGGCTTTTT